AGTGGTGATTTGACCACAACTGTAAATCACCCATCCTATACAATTTTGGTTAGTTTTTTCTTCTACCACACAAACTTCTAGAGATCTCTGGCTGCGGACGAGTTGTAGCTTAAAATTAGCATATGCCAGAAGTAGCAAACCAACTAGTTTGCACAAATTAAGGAAAAAGAAAAACGGAACCAAGACGACGTTTGTTTTAAGAATTATGCCTTATTTTAAGAGTTTTGCCTAGTTTAAGATTTATGATTTTTAGTTCGGTTACAGTATTTTTCTCTTAAAAAAAATTAAATTTTAAAAATCAGAATCACGAATCATAAAACTCATCAATCAAACGTCACCTAAGTTTACTAAGTGCTAGTCCAAAGAGAAAATAGCAGTTTAACAAACTCTGCTGCAAAAGTGTTTCTTTGGCCAACATGCACGATGAAATTCATTTAAATGTCTCTTATAGACTAACCCCAATATACGGAGTGCGTAAAATTGATATTTTGTTTAACATACTTACTAATCAAGTTGGAGAAAAAGTGCCAAAGTGGTGTCTTACTGTTGCATATAGAATAAACAGAGCACAAACATGACTTGCAATGATTTATAGCAAAGTTGATCATTCCACTTGAAAATGTCGAACTAAAAAACAAACTTACTTCTATAAAAACTGAAATAAACATAATGAGATAGTAAAAAGCTATTACACAGTGGAGGATGAGTTCAAAACGAATGAAAGAAAGAACATGAAACGTTTTCAGAATCCTATCTTTCGGCTACAAGATAGACGAGTTTCCAAGTACCCAAAGCAAAATGTTCAAACTACAAGCAGCTAATTCTGTTGACAAAAGCCTTTCCCAGGAATCAGGTCGACCTCTATATAAACATGACCAGAGCATGGTCTTCAAAAACCACATCTTTTAACCTTGTGGATCACAAAATTAAGCAGAGCAACATCCGACTTTTTTCACAGCTGATACATCATCCTTGGTTCCAACATTGATGGTCTGTCCTTTGGGCAAGGCTGCTGGGTCCTCCCCAATATCGAGGGCTTTCCTGCTTACCACGCGATAGATTTGGGTCAAAACTTCTGTGAAGGAATTCTCGACATTCATGGACTCGAGGGCAGATGTCTCCATGAAGAAGGTGTTCTCCTTCTCAGCAAAAGATTTGGCATCTTCAGTCGAAACTGCTCTCAGGTGGCGCAGATCGGCCTTGTTTCCGACGAGCATGATCACGATGTTGGCATCCGTGTGATCCCTAAGCTCCTTGAGCCATCTCTCCACATTCTCAAATGTGACATGACGGGTAACATCATAGACTAATAGAGCGCCAACAGCACCGCGGTAGTATGCGCTAGTGATTGCACGATACCTTCAAAGACAAACAATTTATTGAAATGAGATGTTTTCGAAAAACCAGGGATGGGAATTGGAAAAACCCTCCCTCTCTCCCATTCCTG